CATGTTCCCCTGGAGCCCCAGGGACACCTGGGGAGAACCCAGAGGGACAGAGAACGTGCTGCCGTGGGCTGCTCCTCTGCTGCTGAGCTGGTCTGGGCTCCTGACAGAGCTCACGGTAACATTGCAGTGCTGCAGAGAGACAGCTCTGCCCAGGAGCAGGGCTGAGGGCTCTGTCCGCAGGCACCGAGGGGAGAGGAGCGAGGAGAAGAGAGGTTACAGGCAGCCTGGGGTGGGAGGATGCTCGGAGCTCACTGGAGGGGAACACCTCAGCAGGCTTTGACAAAGTAAGTCTGTAGGTGCAGGACAATGCAGCTGCGGCTGTACAGGAGTCTGCGACAGCTTGGACAGCCCGTGGCGTCTTCTGGGAGGGCTTTCCTTTGGAGGAGAAACTGTGCTGCAGAGCTGGGCTCCGGGCAGAGCCACAGCCTGTGGGATCTCTGCTTCCATCGAGGAGGAGGAGGAGGTGCTCCAGGGCAGGTCTTCCCTGACTCTTCTCCCAGGGACAGCTGTGGGGCTGTGAAGGCACATGAGCACCCAGGGGTGCCCAGGGCTGTCCTTCCGAGCAGGGTCCCTGCACCCCAGGGTGCTGCACCCTGCCAGGGTCAGCTCTCAGCCTGCCCAGGGAGCTCCCCACGGGGCTGTGGGGAGAAGCTGTGGGTGGAAGGAGCGACCCTGGCAGGGCAGGGTCCTTGTGCTGTCGAGAGGTGCTGCGTGGTCAGGGCTGCTCACAGCCGTACATCACCTCGAGGATATTTGCAGAGGGTTCTGGGCAAGAAGAACGTCAAGGCAGCGTTTCCCTGAAAGGGAAGGAATCTCTGCTTTGAGGTTTCTGCTCTTGCTCAGCCAGGTGGGCAGCGTTGGGTGGGAATTCTCCAGAGTTCCTCCATTCTGGAGCAGGCGCTGAGACCCCCGTTCTTGTTCGGACTTGTCTGAGCTGCTCCTTCGCCCCGGCACACACAGTGATGCCCTTGGGCAGGGCTCTGTCCCAGGGAGGGGTCTGCTGGGCAGAGCGAGCATGAAACAGGAGGGACAGGGAGGACATGTGGGGCAGAGAAACAGCTCCGGGCAGGGACAGCTCCAGGCAGCAGCGGAGCTACCTGCTTATCTACCCCAAGTTTGATGGGAACCCAGAGTTAAGTACCCCAAGACTGATGGGCCCAAGGAGTGATGGGCACCTGGGGTTAGCCACCCCAAAGGCTGACTGGCCCAAGGGGTGATGGACCCCCATGGTTAATCACCCCAAAGGTGATGGATCCAAGGGGTTAGCAGCAGCGACGTGGGCGAGTGAGAGGGGCCAGATCCCAGAAATGCTGGAGGGGCGGATCCATGCACCTCCCTGCCTTCCCCTGCTGTGCGGATGCCTTCCCTGGAGCTCACACATCAGAGCCCCCCATCCTTAACATCACGGTGTCGTGGTTTAATGGCAGCTGAAACAACCACTCAGACGTTCGCTCACACCCTCCCCGCCCCAGTGGCATTGGTAGAGAATCAGAAATAAAAATTTTAAACTTTGGGTTGAGATAAAGATAGTTTAATAGGACAGGAAAGGATGATGATGATGATGATGATGATGATGATGATGATGATGGAGGAATATACAAAAGAAGTGATGCACAGCACAGGTGTTGACCTCCCACAGACCACTGATGCCCGGCTAGTTCCCGAGCTGTGATCCCACTGGTGGGACAATATGAGAAGCCAAAAAAGTCCTTGTCTTGATGTAAACACCCAAAACGTCACTGTGTTGTCAACATTATTCTCCTCCTAAATCGAAACCACAGCATCAGACCCGCTACTAGGAGGAAAATTATCTCTGTCCCAGCTGAAACCAGGACATGTGAGGAGGACGTGGTCATGAGTTCTATTCCCAGCAGCCGGACCACCAAAGAGGAGAAACGCTCCAATGGTCGCGTGTGTCTCCCTGTCCCACCTCTCTTGACAGTAACACTTTGGCATGTTCCCCTCTTGCCTTGTTCTTACCGTTCTGCTCACTGTGGGGTTGGGGGAGAGGGCTCAAGAGCAGCTACACCACCAGCGCTGTGTGTCCCATCACGTAGATGCGTCCATTGAGGAAAAGCGTCTTACTCTCCTGCTAAATGTGGGGCTCTGGGAAATGTTGTGTGTGGGGCTGGAAAAGATCCGACCCTCCCGTCAGGACAACCCATCTCTAGGACAATCGAGGTGAGGGGGTTAGAGAATGGGACTTGGAAACTGGAGTCCTCTGCTCAGAAGAACGTCTGAGTGTGATCGTCCCTCACCTCAAACCATTGCTGGCACAGGGGGTTCTGCCTTAAAAACGGTCCTCAGCTGTGGTGGGGCAGCTAGAACAGAACAAGCCCCCCACCCCACCCCCCCAGCTCTGCTCTGCCGTCAGGCGAACTGGGAGCAGCAATGCTGAAGAACTCTTTGGTACCACGAGCGGGTTTGATATGAGATCGCCCCATGTTCCTATTGACCGACTGAGGCAGGGCAGGACTGACTTCTCCAGAGCCCACAGCAGACCCCCCTGCTCCTAGGGACACCAGCCAGCACCAGCCAGAGGTGAAGTCACGGATGTGTGACAGCTCTTAAAGGGGAGAGATATTTTGGGAGGATTCCATGGGAACCGGCAGAGGTTGTCCTCTGAGAAGTCTCCTGTAACTTGTAACTGCATTTTCTCCCTTGGACAGGTCCCCATGTGCAGATGGAGGAAATGTGCAACATTAGCTCCATCACCCAGTTCCTCCTCCTGGCGTTTGCGGACACGC